CGTCTTACCAATATTAACTTTTAACCTTTTCTTTTCAATAACTTTTTTCCATCTGTCAAATTTTAACTGCAATTCTCCCATGCTATAGGCCATCAAGACTAAATCATCTGCATACAAAATCTCAAATAACAACCCCTCCGTTATGTTTCCACACACAACATTCATCACAATTGCAAACAAAAACGGTGATAACACTGATCCTTTATGCACTCCTACCTTAACACTAAAAACGTCCGACATCCCCCTTCCGACCCTCACCTTTGTCTTCGCCCCTTCAAACAGCTGCATCACAGCTTTAACAAGTCTCTCATTCACTCCTTTCTTCCTCAGCGCCCATTCAATGACCTTCCTCGGTACTCAATCAAAAGCCTTTTCTAGATTCACAAAACACATGTACAATCTTCGTTTCTTCTTTCTATAATTCTCCTGCAACATTCTCAGTATGAACAACGCATTCACCGTTCCCCTACCAGGCATAAACCCACACTTAACTGTCACCATATTTCTCAACCTTCTCTCAAGCACCCTCTCCACTACCTTCATTCCATGCTCTAGCAATTTCACACCCCTATGTGACCCACAATCTCTCACATCTCCTGTGCCCTTAAACAACGGCACCAGCACACTGTGTCGCCAATCCTTAGGTATACCTTTATCATCAAACATGCTGTTAGCAATTCTCATCATAACTTCAATTCCTATCACCCCACTCGCCTTTATATGTTCCGCCGCCACTTCCGAAACCCATGTCGCCTTACCTAGTTTCATTTCTCTAACTGCTTTCTCTACTTCCTCCATTGTTACCTTCTCTATGGGCCCGACACACACACACACACACACACACACACACACACACACACACACACACACACACACAAACACACACATATATATATATATATTTTTTTACAATAATCTATAAATTCTACCGAAAAAAACATTCGGTAGAATTTATAGAATATATATATATATATATATATATATATATATATATATATATATAGAAAATAAGTTACCAATAGAGAATTATACTTTGGTCTTGACTCTACATCTTTTATCAAGCTGTTGAAAAAAATTATATTAACTGAGCAACTGAGCATAATTATAATTTATTTAAATATAAGTTTTAATTTATTAATTTATAAATAAATAAAATAAACAAATAAATTCAAATATATGAATGAGTGTGTGTGTGTGTAATACCGTCAAAGTAGCGTAAATTAAATCATCCTTAGCCATGGCCCATTTAAAAAAAAAAATTCGAAATTAATATTTCATGCTGATCTTGAGACTATGCTAAACCAGATATCAAAGCCATAACCACAACAAATCATAACACAAATACAATACAATTAATGCACATACAATACAAAAGTTTGGCCAATCCTGATTACATCATTACATTTGTTTCATTTATATTAAATATTAATATGTATCCACAATTACATTAAAAGTACTTTTTTTTAAATTAGTATGGTATGATTTAATAATAAACATCAATAAAAAAAATATTAACCATGTGTTTACAAAATCAATAAATTCCTTTGAAAAGTCTCCATCTGCTTGGGTAAGCCTGGGTGGGTCTCCTTCGATTACTTGGGTCAATTGGTCGAACACGCTGTTCCACTTCGGATAAGGAAATTTACCGGTCGCAGCCTCAATCTTGCCAGTAGAAAAAATGAAAAATTTGGTGGCAAATGCAAAAAAGAGAACGTAATCAGTTCTAATTTTTACATAAAAAGAAGAAATTCCCCGAAACTAATAATATATGTGTACAAGCGCAGAGAAGACGATTAAACAAAATTTCTTAAAAAATTAAACTGACCAATGTAATACCCAAGCTCCAAACATCGGATCTAACGTCGTATCCCCTGCCAAAATTCTTTGGATCAATTCTTTCGGGCTTTATAAAAATGTGATAACTTAATTTACTTTTAATATATAAGGGTATGTTAAAAGTTGGACTGAATATTAATATGTATGAAAAAATAGATTTTAGACAATTAATAGGAGTAGATTTAACATTTTCAATTTCAGTTTAAATCTAATTCAATTGACATCATTAAAAACAATGGTTCGCTATAAATAAGAGCAATAATTTTTTGATTTAGTGGATTTGCTTTGTCTAAATAATGAGCCAAAACTAAAATTATGATTTTTTTAAATTCAATCAGAATAAAGTAATAATAATAGTCTGCTAATATTATTTGGCTTGGCAGATTCATTTTAGACCTAATTTTTTCTACAGTTTTGCACCTACTTTTTATACAAAATTAAAAAAAACTTACTATAGCTATCATGGAGGTGAAATTTTTACAAAATGCATGAAAAACTGAACATGATCACTAATCCAATCACATTGTAAAAGGATCGTAAAATATACTGAACGAGAAATGATATACAAACTGCCATATAAGGTCGACAACCAGCATCTCTTGTCTTTGCTATTGAATCAACCAACTGACCACTTATTCCAAAATCACACAACTTTATATTTCCTATAAAATTCATTCAAACAATTAAATCAATATTTTTTATTAATAAACTATTATAAACCCATACCTGATTTGTCTAGTAATATGTTGGATGGTTTAACATCTGAATGTTTAAAGAAAAAGTATTGTATGCAGAAGTGCTGTTTATATTCAATTATATTATATTTAGTAATTTATGTTTAAATCAAAATTTAAGTAATGGAAAAACAACCTCTGTGAATTATCTTCAAGTTTTCCTTCAAATAATTTAATGCCCTTAGTGTCTGTAAGGGACAAAAATTTAAATTATTAAAAAACTGAATAAAAAATTCAAAAACATTTGATGCATTTCAAGTTTAGAAAGCGGAAACAATAATAATTTTTCACTGACAGCCACAGTAATTTTCCCCATGATGTCTTCAGGAATATGTTGCTTCATGATGACATGTATGCACTTATAAAATTTGTCCAGTGATATGGACATCAACTCCATGCATATCCAGCAATCACCCTGAGGTATGATTTGTTTTGGACAATGTAGATTTGAAAAAAAAACATAAACATTGAGAATGTTTTTGCTTGAATAAAATTTTTATTATAAATCAAATAAATAATATACCCATTATAAGGAAATATTTCTAAATATCTGATTTACCTCCTTGAACAATGCTCCAAAAAATTTAACGATGAAACGGCAATCATTACTTTTCATGACCACCTGAAGGTCCATCAACAGCTGGCTTTGTTCCTTTTCATCAACTGTTGATCTGATTCTCTTGAAGATGTTCATTTATTATCAGTGAAAACTACAACTTAAGTAAATGTCACATACAATAAAATGACTACAGAAGACTTAAATTTTTAAAGAAATAGAACCCAAATACAAAATATCTCAAACCATATTACTTGTCCATATTGAAATTAAATAGAATAAGAAAACTCCAAAAAATGTTAAAAAATTAAAATGAGGCAAACTTTGACAGCCATGACAGTGTTGCTGACTTCATGGAACATTTTGTTAACAGTGCCATAAGCCCCCCTGCCTATTTCACCATGATCAGTAAGATCATCAGATGTGAAATTATACACCTATGATAGAGATTTGAAATGTTTATATTATTATATAAGACATTTGTAAAAATAATATTTAAAATGAATGTTTATTAAAAACCGCTGCATAATAAAATAAAATTTTCATTATAAAATATTAAGAGTTTTTAAGTTTAATATTTAAGAATGAAGAATTCATAAAACTATAAAAAAATGTAGATATTCATCATATTATCAACCTTATCCTCTATTTGCAACTTTCCAGTGTTTTCCATATTATGTTTTTTAAAACGTTCACTTTAATAAAAATAATTTATTTTTAATATCAATATTTAACCAATAAAAAAATTCTAATATTTAACCAATAAATAAATTTTAAAATTGAATTTATTAATTACAAAGTATATCTACTATTAACTATTTGAAGCTTGAACATTAAGTTACTTCAAAGATTAAACTCTTTAAAATTTAAAACTAAACTACTAAACAAAGTCACCAACCTGATCTTCTACTAACTATAACAAACTATAATAATATAATATAATGTACCTCTAAGTCCTAGTGCTAGTCTATAATTATTTTATATTATACTGATACTGCTATCAAAATCACACACACACACACACACACACACACACACACACAAACACACACACACACACACACATATATATATATATATATATATATATATCAATAATCAATCAAATATATATATATGGAAAATGTAGTTACATCTGAGTGGGATGTTTCAATTGCTTTAGTATGCTATCATTGTTGAACGTTGTAGGCATGGATGAAGGAGGTTTAGCTGGATTGAAAGCAGGCAGTTTCAGTGGCATATTTCTTGGAGGTGGGTTAGTTTTGCGGGGCCCCTTTCCTAGTTCATTGTTCGTTGGTTTGTATGAAAAATTAAACAAATTAATGAAAAATAGTTTATAAAACACTGTAAAAATTACCATCGTTGGACTGGTTTGGTAGCATCTTCAAAAACTCGAAATTTTATGGTAAGTCAATCAAAACAATAACAAACGAAATGCACTACATTGTACTACAGCGGCTACAGAAAAACACAAGGTACACTTAGCTAAATATGCTTTAATCGCTTTACAAAGTTTTGAATAAAAAAACGGAAATTGAGCTATAACACTTAAACTTCAAGCATTTTTGACACATACTTAGAATGCTTTGTACCTATATGTAAGGGTAAGCCCAATATACAAACGCCGTGTAATTAATATCTACAGCATCATTATTTTTTGCCTGTGACCCACACACGCACACTGGCATGGCACACACACACACAGACACACACACACACACACACAAACAAACTAACAAAACCAACAACCATCTGCCTGTGCATGGGCCAGATGTGGAACCGATCGTCACTCGGGCATTGGCCTTTTTAGCTATTCTTGGCGGTGCAGATTGCCATAGCTACAGACGAAATGATGCCGACGATATCATCTGACACTTTTCCACTATTAACACGAATTTTAAACTGAAATTATCAATACATGCAATTGACTAAGAAGCTGGGAAGCATGTTAATAGGAGGTAGTTTTGGAGGTAGGAGGTAGATCACCAACTGGCTGTCTGCCTGTGCATGGGCCAGATGTGGAACCGATCGTCACTCGGGCATTGGCCTTTATAGCTATTCTTGGTGGTGCAGATTGCTATAGCTACGCCATCATCTCTCAAGACGAAATGATGCCGACGATATCATCTGACACTTTTCCACTATTAACACGAATTTTAAACTGAAATTATCAATACATGCGATTAACTAAGAAGCTGGGAAGCATGTTAATAGGAGGTAGTTTTGGAATGGATCACCAACTGGCTGTCTGAAAGGAAACTCATATAAACACTTTTTTAAATGAAGATATGTCGTCAGTTGAGTTAAACAAAGTTTAGTTCTGGGAAAAATTATTATTTGTAATTGTAATTACAAACGTTGACTACGTCACTGTTGTTAACAAGAGTAGTAGTAGCAAAGTTTTTAGATTTCTTAAAACATGTTAGTTTAAACTTTAACTTTAGAGAAACTTAGTTTGGGATACATTGAATTACTCCAAGAGATATTTGAGTCATTGTAATAAGGTATGTTTGTGCTCTAATAATATGGTTGAAACATAAACTTTGAATACTTTAAATTCATAGAATAAATAGATGTACATTAATATATGTATTTTATACTTTTATATAAAAAAGTTTTCAAGAATCAAGAAAAATATTTTACTCAGAGCCACTGAGAGCCGCTCAGAACAGATCTCCGACTTAGCACTTGGCCAAGTATTCAACGGTTTTCGTTTGCATAGCATCGCGTTTCATAAACTTTTTTAAACAGAATCCGTAAAGAAAACTTTGTGGTTGATCGAGTTATTTATTAATTTTTTATATACTTCCGCGTTTGTTTTAACTTTTAAGTTTGTTTGAACAATCGTGAGAGCATGGACTTCACTACAAATAATTCCTCAGCCAGCCATAAAGCTTTAGCAGCCTTGCTAATAAATGGACATCAAGAAAACAAATATGATGTTTATAAAAGTTGCTTCAATGAATATTCCTCCAAAACACTGGAAGTTAGTTAGTCATTACATTACTCATTAGCAGTGTTAGTTGGTTTCAATATCAATATGATTTTCAATATGGAATGTCAGTTCAGCAAACTAGAAAATTTACTTTTGTCATAATTTGCTAACTTATGAATATTTTTCTAGTGTTTTTTTATTCATGTTGAATTTAACTAGTTTTAATTTTCTAATCAAATAAAATTATTTGTGCTTTTTAAGCCACTTAGAATTTTCAACAGAAGGTTGTCAAATATAAACAATTTTCCATATGGTTTAGTAAACAGCAAAAATAGCAGGCACTCAACTTTCAACAACATACCCTGGTATACTATATGCATTTTAAAATTACTGTTTTAATATTCAAATAACTTTTTATGTTTAATTAAGGTATGGACTTTGTCAAAACACGGCACAGTCTCTTGACATGTTGAGGCAAGTTATTCAAAGTTCTATAAACGATGAGATCAGTAAAATTATTAAAAAATATCTAAATGTGAGTTTTTTACTTTACTATAATTTTAATATATACAGAAATATCATTAAATGCAACAATTCAAACAATTTCATTTCTTGTTTTGAATAACTCTTGTAAAAATTTTGAGAAGTGATTAAAATTTATTTATTAAATATGATAAGTACTGTATACTCTAAGTTGTGCAAGGTAGTAATTTAAACACCCTGGTATTTTACTACTTGCTTTTCCTTGTAATAAAAAGATTAGGTACCATTCCAATTACTGACTGAATTGGAGTGGATATCTTGACATTTCTCTTTCAAAGCACTCATTAAAAATTATACAATGTTGCTGAATACTTTAAAAATCATGTTAGAGAAGACGAAATTTTTTATACTTTTTTACATAGTACTTTAAAATTATATATTGCTGTAATCATCTTAAATCAAATTTTAGCTAAACTTGCTGATTCTTTTAATATGCTTCAAAGATGTTGTATGTCAACCATAAAGGTATTTTTTATTTTAAGTCACCGTATTATACAAAAGTTTATATAAGTAACTATGAATAAACTTTTTTACCAACTCCAAACTACATGTCCGTCGTAGAATTTTTATTTGGAGATCGATCTGTCCAGATTTTTTATACATAACAAACAATTGAAGATGTGTAATTTAAACAAATTAGATTTTTATAATATTTTTCATTGTATCAAGCAAATTAAAAAAAGTAAAACGTGTATAAATCTACACTAAATGACTGTTGTCTTAATTGAATTTAAACTCTATATTTATTCACTTAGATACTTTTAAATGGAAAGCAAAGTTAAAGCATTCAAACATTTTTCATTTGAACTGTTTTTTGAAGAGTTTTCAATTATCTTCAATATGTTTAATGTGGATGAGCTTCATTCGCCTGATGATGTTGAAACTGACAGAACTGCTATTATAAGCAACAACTTGTAAATGATCGGGAAATAAATGACATTGTGGTCTGCCAATGTTTCAACAGCATATTTTGAGTTTTGTGGGAGCTATCTATCTATTCTTGAATCTATAAAAATGATTCTCCTGATGAACATGTACCTGAAGTTTCTGATTCAACAGAGTATGACAATTTGGTTCTCCTGAATGTATCATGAGGCAGATTATTTTCCAGTTTATATGATTCTTTCATATCTGTGTTTTTATAATCCGCGAATTATTTGGATGTTTGGAAAACGCTTAATTTTAGCTGTGAAAAAACGAAAATCATATTTTTATGTCAATATTTAGACATTAATTAGTTTGAATAAATAAATAGAATATAATATTAAAATGTTAAGTATTTGTTTGGATTTTTTGAGAAGACTCATGGCTCTGATGTGGTTAATAAAATTTTTTAAGCAAAATAACAGAAAAAAAGCAACCACAAAGTTTTTTGAAAATTATAGAATAATAAAGCTGTTTTGCTGTGTTTTATTTGCTTTGTTGTGAAAAAGTGTCAGTTTTTAATAAATTAGTTTTAGTAATTGAATCAAAATTTTCGGTTGAATTTTACGTAATTCTTGTATAATATTTATTTTCACTTTTATTTTTTGAGTGATTGTTACGTATTATATATATAATATATAACGTACACTATGTCTTGAAATATTTCAATTAATCCTTAGCCAAAATATTATATTTTCCAAATATGACATATGACTGTGAACTTGCCTATATATATATATATATATATATATATATATATATATATATATATATACTACTACAACTTTGCTGTGAAATCTGGAGAAATTGCTCAATGCCGACTGAATGGAACTATAGCATGACAGTCCCGCTATACAACGGCAAAGGTGATTCATTGAACTGTTCATCATATCGGGGTATACGTCTGTTAGAACACTCCCTGAAAATTGTTGAAAAAATCATTGAGAGAAGATTAACGTCGTGCATCACAATCGGAAATTATCAATTTGGTTTTCTAGCGGGGAAATCAACATTTGATGCAATTCACATCCTTCAGCAACTGCAAGAGAAGTACCTCGCAAAGCATCAACAACTATCACACATTTTGGTAGACTTTGAAAAAGCATTTGATCGAGTTCCCCGTGAAGCAATCAGGTGGAGTCTACGTCGACAACTCATTCCAGAATATCTTGTTCGACTTGTGATGGAAATGTATACGAATACTAAGACTCTTGTCAGCACAACGGTTGGAAACACAGATGCATTTGACATCGGCGTTGGAGTTCACCAAGGCTCGATTCTCAGTCCACTGTTATTTATAACCGTGATGGAAGAAATCACAAAACCGATACGCACTGGTGACATTTGGAATCTAGTATATGATGATGATATCGTTTTAACAGCCACGTCTGAACAGAATGCAGCACAGATGTTTGAAGATTGGAACACCAGACTCGCCGATCATGGATTCAAAGTCAACATCAGCAAAACCAAAGCAATGAACACTGGTGAACCCATCCAATCCACAGCTACTGGACGATGGCCCTGTTCAGTTTGTAAAGCTGTTGTAGGTAACAATTCAATCAAGTGTCAGCAGTGTAACCAGTGGTGTCACAAACGTTGTTCAAAAATAATTGGTACTTTATCTAAAGTGTCCAATTTTGTTTGTCCTGCTTGCATCAATCCACAACAACAAATTCGAAATAGCACTGTTTTGAAGTCATTAAAATAGAGAAAGTCACATCGTTTCAATATCTAGGAGATGTTCTGGATTGTACTGGAACAGCTGAAGCTGCCGTTCGAGCACGCATACGTGCAGCCTGGAATAAATGGTATCTCCTTGCCTCTATATTGATGCGGCGTGACATCCCACTACCACTACGATCAAGACTTTATAAATCTGTGATACGTCCGGTGTTGTTATATGGTGCAGAAACATGGCCAATGACAACCAAACTGGAACAACAACTTTAACGAATCGACATGAAAATGTTCCGATGGATGCAACGAATTAGTCTTAAGGACCACATCAAATCTACCGAAATCCTGCGTCGTGCTGATTTAGATGATATAAAGGACGAATGCCGGCAACACCGTCTGCGGTGGTTTGGTCATGTCAAACGAAGTGGAAACAGTGCCATAACTTTTCTTGCAGATGTTGAAGTACCTGGCACACGTCCCAAAGGCCGTCCAAAGAAGTCCTGGTCGCAAACAATCGAGCAAGACATGAAAGCTCTAAATTTAAGTGAAATGGATACAACTGATCGTCTAATTTGGCTCAAAAAGTTGATGGCAAAGAACACAACGTCCTACCTCGGGGAAACCGGGTCTCTGGACGCAAAACGAAGATTGATTGATTTATATATATATAAACATGTTGTATACTCAAGTTAAATAAGTATAATAAGTAAATGAGGGATGTGATGAAAATTAATAATTGTTCTTGAGCCTATTATATGTTCTTCTTGGACTAAAGTAGATACAACAGGGATGGGTCACAATAAATTAGTAATACAGTTTTTTTTTAAAAAGTTATTCAAGTTTATTGTATCATCGGTTTGGAATGACGTGGAAATACATGAATGACTTTTTATAAAATAATTTGAAATTGTGAAATACATTTAGAAAAACAAATTTTTACAGATATATTTTATTCCAGCAAAATCAAACATAAATGGACAAAATTCTGAAAATAATGAAGTAACAGAAGAACACATGAACCATGTCTGTTGTCAAATATTAGAAGAAGTAAATAATTTATCTTGAAATTAATTTATAAGTTATGAAGTGATGAACGTTTTTTAAAATAAATTAGTTTTTTGTTTGCAGACTCGTTATTTCTGAAAATTCCTTTTGTTCATTTTCGTTTCTCAAGTTTTTCTTTCGCTAATTACACAATTATAGAAATTCACTATTTGGAAAAAATTTACTATTTGCTTCACATTTTGAAGCTTTATTCAGTTTTGTGTCAAAATTGAGTTTCTATTATATGATAATTTTATGTATGAAATTAGAACAAATTTTTGTTCATTATTGTGCACTTTAATTTGTTTTTAAGGCCAAGAAAATGTATGAGGTTAACTTGGAGAAACATTGCGCAGATAAAGTTTCAAAAATGGCTGCTGAGCAGAGTGTCGTTCATGAATTTGAAACTATAAAACCAAGAAAAAGGAAAAGAACGTTCTCCTCTGGTTCCGATTCAAAGCTTCCCCTGCTATCTAAAGTTCATCTTTTTTATTAATATTTGTTGAGAATAATCTTTGTAATACATTTTTCCCACTTGCCTGCAATTTAAGCTTTGTTTAAAATTTCTTGTATTCTTTTTTTAGAAAGCAAAGCATGCAACAGCTCATTACAAGACATACTCTGGGTATTATTCATTAAACTTAAACAAAATGATCGTGCGAACAATTGAAAGATTATTATTATTATATCAGACGATCAACCCCAAGTAAAACAAAGCACTCAGAACACGTGAAAAAAGAAGGAGCAAAGGTTATGATTAAATTTATGATTAAGGTTATGATTATGGTTAAAAATATAAACCATGTTATTTCTCTAGCTTGATGAACTAAGTTATTTCGATCTACATCTTTGTTCCTTAGCGGTCAGAATTTTTTGTGTTTTTTGCTCAATGCCAACCAACATATCTACTTTGATATTTTGGCTTTTAAAAGTTTTTCAATCTTTTTAATCTAATTTTTAGCTGTTAGAGGTTTTTTAAAATCTGCATATGGTTACTTTTATAACATTATTTTTGTAACAATTTAGCACTAAATTGCTACTTTTATAAAGTGTTTTTATTGCTTTCTGTATTCATGAATATTTCGTCTTTCACTTGTTTTGTGGTTGACAATTTGAGAAGCAAGCATGGTGTCCGAGTTGTAGTCTTTGGCCAGGATTTCATATTTTTCATCTAACTATGGAAAGTGTTGAAATGTTGAAAAAATTTTTATTCATTTTTCACAACCACGAACAATGAGCACTGAGCAGTGCACAGTAATGAAAAATTGTATTATTATCTTTCAGTATATTTAAAACGGGAATGATGAATGATTTTGCTAAAAAATCAAATATATAATAATTTATAATATATTTTTTAAGGTATCTTTAATTTAGTTATTAAGCAAAACTTAACCATTTTTATCTGACTCTGGCACCTTGTAAGCTAAGGCCGAAGTTGTTTTCATCACAATTGAATCAACTTGTATTTCTTGCATGTTGTGTTTTTCTATGTTAAAGTCCCGCTAGCCTTTTACGCGTTATCTCTTACATATTTATGTGATAAATGTAGATAAGTGATATTGAGGCATTCGTTAATCTTTAGCTTAACGTTTATAACTAACATTTTCAGTGGAATCCCAAACGCTTAACAGCGGAGACGGAATTCATAATGGGATCGAAGGCTAACAAGTAGAGTACAACTTATATATTCATGTTTTCATATATTTTTCACATGTATTGCATTTCTTATTTATTGATAAATAACATAACGAAAAAGACTTGTAAAAATTTAAGACATTAAACGGATTAGATTTCATTAAGGTAAAGGGATACAACGTATTTAAACTCATTTATTCTACCTATAGTGTTTGTGGTGGTTACGAAACTGTGTTTGAAAACTCCTTTACGATGTCTGATCAACGTGATGATGATTTTTATAATTTTAACGATTGTTGTAATTTTGCAGAGCATTAGGTTTGGGAGCTACCAGGGGAAGAGTTTACATGAAACATCCTGATTTGTTTAAAGTTTGTTTGAATATTTATGTTGAAAATTGTTTAAAAACCTTAGATCTTTATAGAATATGCTTTTAAAATGATTTTTTATCCAGAAAATAGGTTACAAGTTAATTTTTTTGAAACTCAATATTGTTTCTAACGGGGGTGAATATACGTTGAAAATCTTGTGAGGGATGGTCATCACGGTCATGTGTAGACGGCGTTTTGGAATCGGAAACGATCTACACTCCAATATTTACTTTGCCTTTTGTTTCTCCAGTTCTACATTATTTTGTCTAATTTTTCAAAACTTCGCCTTTATTGATGAATCTAATCCAGACCACTCACTGCAGGAATTCATAACACTTATATGGTTCGAATTTTGAATGCTGGTTGAGCATGATAAAGGTTAATCTTATTTTGTAAGCTTTGTTAACTCATAGAAAAAAGTTATTGGGATCAAACAAATTTTTTGCAACGGTCTTGCTAGCACTCTGAATTTTGGGTTTCATTTTAAGTGAAAGAGTTTTTATAAGGAATATATATTATGAAGATTTTAAATGTACCTTTTTGTTTTAATTTACGTCAAAATGTTTTTTTTATTTTAAAACGTTTCACGCAGTATACTAGCGATCAGGATGACAAGCAATGGCTTGTTGAGAATCGCTACATGTCAGCCACTGGCGGTAAAACGTACATATTGATACTCGATGACATAAGAGAACTTGCTCACACTGATGAATACAGGTCTGCAAGCTTTTTTTAAATTTATTCAACAAATAAGATTTATTAACACTGCTTAAATGCTAATAATTTTCCACAACAATATTGTGTAGGCTTGACGCCTACCAAAATGCTGTCTTCGTTGTGCACGTGCACCGATTAATTAAATAAATTTCATTTGAATTATATTTTCATTAATGAACTTATTTTTTTTTTACGAAAGAGATTGTCCCGGACTGGCTTTAAATGAATTAGTTGGGTTTACTGTACCCATCAGAATGATAAAAAAAATGCAAGATCACATGAATTCTCAGAGAACCGACAAACGTATTTTTGATCCTAGCGGTCTTGATGAATATATCAATGAACAGGGAGAAGACGATAATGACAAAAATATGAGTGATGAAAACATCAATTGTGAAAACACGACGAGAGATGATAGTTTTTGCTCTGAAACTCAGAACGATGATCCAACTTGTGGAAATTGTTTTGAAGAACTCCAACATGATAATTAGTTTATTTAATATCGTTTACTTCATTACTTACATTTTAGCATGCATTTATGATTAAAGTGTTTTTATTTATGTTTTCATGTAAATTAGCTTAACCCATCAACGCTTCGAACAAAATTTAAGTAAAATTGTATTTTAAAATTTGTTTTTGTAGGACAAATTGTTTATTTATTCAAGTCGAAAATTACTCTAAAGTTTTTTAGATATCTATCCGTTAGCGTTGCCAAGTCTATTAGTATGTGTTATAAATAAATTGTTTGTTTTCCAAATTGGTTTCTTTTGAGTTCGTTTCATATATTCGGTCTCCAATTGATTCCCGACAATTTTCTGTAGCACTCTGCGTTGAACGCTGCCAATCTGCACTTGCTTTTTTATTTATTGCCCAAGTTTTCCGTGCATACGTCATTGTACGTCGGCTCTTACTGCTCTAGCGCTTCTCTTTATTTTCTTACAACATTCTCGGTACTTCATTCTAATTTTTCTACTTTCTACAAAGTTTGATAATTTAAATGGTTTTAATTTTAGCTTTTACAACTTTTGCCCGCTGGTTTTAATTGACTTGTTTTCATGTCCGAACTGTTTGTAAGTTATAATATTCATTTCTTTTCCAATCTATCCTTCTTCATTTCTGTATTGTATCTTACTATATTCTTTTACCTATTTTCAGTTTATTTTACTATATTTTCATTACGATGTTGCTTTGCAAATGAAGATAATAGGATCTTATATCTGATTCCTTCTTTCTGGCTGCTTTTCAGCATTTCTAATTAAATATTGTAATGGTTTCAAAGCCTATTCCTTCTTTTGCGAGGTTCAAATGAAAAATATCCTCTCCTATCACGTGTATTTACATGTGCAGTGTGTGTTGTTTCTACATCTGAAAATTAAAAGAGAATTAATAAAAAATAGATCATATTTGCTTTACTAGTTTCTGCACTCAGATGGAAAGAAGTGGCCTAAATTCTTTCTGACCATCTTCTGGTTAATTGCTTCAATTACTTGTCACTTTTGAAAATCGAACGACCCAACCTCATTTTAATAACCCGTTAACAAAACTTCAGACGAGTTCAATGACACAGAAAGTTCCTTATATTTCTGTTACGATTTATTAAATATGATTGGTCAAAAATTGATTCAGTTCAGTTTACCGCTTGTTTGACGAAATACGATGTGTAGGGGGTCTCTTGATTAAATTCTGGCTAGGATGTTATAAAGACATCACACAAAGTATAAGTATATGACGCGATGACAATTTTACTCTTAATATTTTTAATATACAGATATTGCTTTATTAAATCTTAAATGTGTGCGCGTGGGCGTGCGCGCATTATTACATCGTCAACTGAGTTGTGCGTTCGTTTTGCTTATTTTCAGTCAACAGCTGTTTCGTTTTGCGAGAAAGAGCATATTTTTCGAATTGAATTTGTTGTTTTTGAGATAACTAATAAAAAAAGCCTCTAAATAATTAATAAATTGCATATTAAATTCAATCTTTATTATAAATGCCGGACAAGGAAGAAATGTCTGACGAACGCTTCCAAGTTTTGTGCTTTGATCAAGTTGATCGCTTGAATCGTGTCATGGATGCTACTGTTCCCATTCACGGCCGTGGCAACTTTCCAACTTTAAATGTCAGACTGATCGATTTCGTGAAAGTCGTCAGAAACAAGTTAGTCGAAAATGACGTTCACGTCAAAGATGTCAGGTTGAATGGCGGTGTAGCCAGTTACGTTTTGGGAAACGAAAATAATCAAGCGTTTAATGATTACGATGTCATTTTCAGTGTCCAACTGAAGGATCAAACTGATTTAAACAAAATAAAAGAATCGGTTCTCGGTTCTTTGCTTGACTTTTTTCCAAAAGGGGTTAGCAAAGAGCGAATGTCACTCTGTAGTTTAAATGAAGGTTATGTTCATAAAATGGTTAAAATTTTTAATGACACTGACAAGTGGAGTTTGATTTCTTTATCAAATGTTCGTGCAAAGAATATCGAATTGAAATTTGCTGATTCAATGAGACGTCAGTTTGAGTTCAGTGTGGATTCATTTCAAATCCTTCTAGACAGTTTGCTAACATTTTCTGATGTTTCCAAAGATTCAATGAAAGAGCATTTTTTTCCAACTGTAACTGCAGAGTCCGTATATGGTCATTATGAATTAGCTCTTTATCATCTAAACAACAAACTTAGTGGGATCCTCTAGATC